AAAAAAAAAAAAAAAAAAAAAAAAAAAAAAAAAAAAAAACCTCTTGGGCTGGAGATTTAGCTCAATGGTTTCATCGCCTGCCTTGCAAGCACAAGGGCCAGAGTTCAATCTCCAGTACTAAAACAAAACAAAACAAAACAAAAAAAAAAAAACCTCTTAACTAACCTGAACGGGCCAGGGATTTAGCTCAGTAGCATCGTGCACGCCTCACAAGCACAAGATCCTGAGTTCAATCACTGGCATCAGGAAAAAAAAAAGAAATCTAAAAAAACCTGAAAAACTGAACTCTGAATTATACATAGTGAGACCCAATTTCCAAAAAAAAAAGGTAACAACAGCGAATCTTTTCTTTTTTTACTGTGATAGGGGTTAAATCTTCAGAAGACTGCAATATTATGTCCACAGCAGGCTGCAAGCAGTACAGGCCATAGTTAAATTCAGTTTATTTAGAAATGAATCCAGCCAAAGCCTACATGGGGAGGACAAAGTAACTCACCCAAATTCCATTCCCACAACTAAAACCTTAACTAGAAGGACAATGTTCTAATTACAACCAAATATTGTCTGTTCTATTCCTCATTCAAGAATGCTTTGCCTTGTCTTTTATGAGCCTTGCTTAAATTCCACAGAAACCCCAAGACTGCGCATCCTCCCATGTAGTCCCACAATCTCTTACATAGCTCATATTTACCCCAATTGATTACTAATAAAAATCTGTGCTTGGACTGGTCAGTGCCTTGTTGACTGCACCAGCATCCATCATTCGGCCCACCACCTCCACCCTGGCTTTCTTAGTTTTGTCTGTTAGGTTTTTTCTCAGGCCTGTGTCATACACTGAGAAGACTAGTCTCTACTGCAGAGGTTTCTAGCAACGTTTCAAAGTACAATCCAAGACTTTGAACATGTCAGGCAAGTGCTCTCTGAGCTGAGCTACATACAGCCCTAACTCCAAATCATATGTTCTCATAAAATTCTGTGGTGCAGGATAAAAAAGACAAAAAGCTCTAAAGTCTCACCTGACCAAAGACAGAAATCACCACAAAAACATCTTTCATTATAAAGTTCACTAATGAAACTCATTTAGAAGTTAAATTTTGTTTAAACTTTTACAAATTTCTATAAATTTGCACTGGCTTCTAAGCAGAAATGAACGATTCCCATGTTACTAATATCCTAAAAACATTAAACAGCAGCAATGACAAAACTCAGCATTTAGACAAGAAAAATTCTAAAAAGCACCAATATAACTATCACATCAAAAACCATACAGGGCTGGGGATTTAGCTCAGTGACACTAAGCTTGCCTGCCAAGCACAAGGTCCTAAGTTCCATTCCCAGCACACAAAAAAATTATGTATATTGTACTCAGGATGTGGTTCAGTAAGAGAATTCTTGCCTAGCATGAGTGAGGTACTGCATTTGATCCTAAGCACTGAAAGGCTTTTTTTTTGGTTTTTTGAGACAGGGTTTCACTTTGTAGTTCAGGCTGGCCTTGAACTCACTATGTAGCCCAGAATAGTCTAGAATGTGCGATGATCCTCCTTCCTCTGCCTCCCATGTACTAGGATGACCGGTGTGTGCCAACCAACCACACTC